GGAGGAGGAGGAGGAGAAGGAGAAGGAGAAGGAGAAGGAGAAGGAGAAGGAGAAGGAGAAGGAGAAGGAGAAGAAGAAGAAGAAGAAGAAGAAGAAGAAGAAGAAGAAGAAGAAGAAGAAGAAGAAGAAGAAGAAGAAGAAGAAGAAGAAGAAGAAGAAGAAGAAGAAGAAGAAGAAGAAGAAGAAGAAGAAGAAGAAGCAGAAGCAGAAGCAGAAGCAGAAGCAGAAGCAGAAGCAGAAGCAGAAGCAGAAGCAGCAACTTACCTGGAACACAGTGAGGATGGCAGTGGGAAAGGTATCAAAGTTGGTCGTTGGTGTTTCGTCGTTGAAGTGAAACCTAGGAAGAGGCTGAGTATTAACACACAGGCAGCTTAGGAATGCAGGAGCCCACCCCATCTGCCAGAAAACACAAAGAAAACGGGGACATTCCACTGTTGGTGAACTATCGGTTCTCCACCATCGTCCCATCCAATAGAGAGACTTTGGAGCTCAACTTACTGCCCGCCAAAAAGCTGCATCCCCAGCAAGGCAAACACCACGATGAACAGGAAGAGGAGGAACAGCAGGCTAATGATGGACTTCATCGAATTCAGCAAGGAGACCACCAAGTTCCTCAACGAGTTCCAGTATCTAGGAAGTCAAAATAAATGGAATCACCATGATTATGATAGCATCTGAGTAAAGGGTAGGAAGCCTCTTCCCAGCATTCTCAGCAATGGCTTAGGAATTCTGGGAATCAAAGTCCATAGCCCTGAACAACATCTTGGATGGACAAGGATCACACAAAGTATTTTTCCACAACCTGTCTGAGACTGGTAGTAAGCATGAATAAGTCACTCACCTGTCGTCAGGCACCCCAGAGAGGCATAACATTTACAAGGCAAACATCAACAAATGGAGAGGCGTAACATTTACACAGTGGGATTGTTATCTGCTTCCTCGTTGAAAAACAGATTAAAAAAAAAAGAATTTGGGATGATCAGACTAACAGACTAATAGAATAGGGAGGGACCTTGGAGGTCTTCTAGTCCAACTGCTCAAGCAGGAGACCCTATATCACTCCGGACAAATGGCTGCCCCATCTCAAACCTCCAGTGTTGGAGGATCCACAACCCCTGGTTAATTGTTCTCTGATGGATTGTTAATTGATCAGCATAAGCTGTCTCCCTCCTCCAGTTTTTCTCTCACTTCCTAAAGGAAAACTCTTGATTCCCATCTCGGCTGGAGGTGGGAAGAGAGAGATAACCTCAAGTCAACTCTCTTTTGGATTCAGACAACACTCTGAGCCTTGATGAACAGCTAACATTGAAAGAGAGCAACTAAAACAGTTTCTTTTGCTGAGGAGGAGGAGGAGGAGGAGGAGGAGGAGGAGGAGGAGGAGGAGAAGGAGAAGGAGAAGGAGAAGGAGAAGGAGAAGATGTTTACCTGGAACAATTAAGAATCCTACATCTGACATATACACAAGACATTCTAAACTCTGGACAATGGTTGAACTCCATTTTGTGCAATTGTTACTAAACCTCTTTCTGCTCCTCTAAGGGCCTTCCCCCACTTACAACTAACTAACTACGGCAGAGTTAAACTTTAGGTGCCTCTACGTAGTTTGGTCATGTCTCCATGGTGTGGCCCTTGGTTTGATTCCTATTAGTACTTAAAATTATATCTTCCAATTGTCTCCCAGGATGCTTCAAGGTGTACAAAAGTTCTCAAGCTTTGTCACTGGTGATGTTGGAGGGAAATCAGGAAACGAGAGGGATGGGAGAGGGGCAATCAAAGCACAAGAGAGTTCAGCAAAATTCAGGCTGATTTAATTTTCTGCTGTTCCCCCAAATTAGAGACGTCCTGGGTCTCTCCATCCTTGCCCCCTCGTGCCTGTTGGGTACCACATGTCTTCCAAGAACAGAACTGGGTCGCCTAGCAACCAAGATGCTCCAGTTTCATCCCATCCTCCATCCGCAACTCCTTTGGCAACTGATTCTGAAGGCCTTTGTGTGTGATTTAATCCAGTTCCTCCTCTTTCCTGTCTTAATATGTGTTGTGTTTTATCTTTGCTACTACTGGTAACTTAAAGAGAAAAAAAACACTGCATACATTTGGGGGGGGGGTCTTACACAGGGGGGGGGAAAGCATCTCTCTCTTTCGGAATGATTGTACACACCCTCCCAAGATGAATCTGTTTAGAAAACGCACACCAGAGGAGTACAAAGTGTGTGCCTGGCTGCGAAAAGATGGGCTGTTCTTCTTACTTCAAAAATAATTGCATAATGAAGAGGAAAGATGACAGAGCAAACTCATGATTGTGTTTGCGGGACTGGTGTCCATGGGGAAGAAACATCAGTTAGTCTTGTCTACACTCTGGAAAGCAGGCAAACAATGCAACTGGTGAGAGCAACAGGAGGCAGGGAAGAGCCAGAGAGACCAGGATAGAATCATGGTTAAAGGAGTTGGACAAGGACATGGGTGTCAGATTCAAGTCACTGACTTGGCCCCATGATGAGAGTCCAATGTATCTTGCCAGGCTGTTGATTGTGGAGGAAAAATGAGAACTTTTCACGCTGGATGGAGCTCCTGAAGGAAAGGTAGAATAAACACTCTACCAAACAATTCTTTAAAAAGAAAAGTTGGTGGTTCTCCTCTCCTACATCACAACCTCCGCTCAAAATTATGAAAGGGTCCTTCCGTTATCAAGGGGAAAGCAGTACCATTAGGTGGAAAGCACGCTCTTCTCGTTTTTATTTTATTCCTTTGAAGCATGCAACCTGCCCATCGCTGCCACAAATGAAAAGGGGGATAGACACGGAACAGGATGGGCAAATCAAGGGGCGTTTTTAAACCGAAGCAAATTGCCGTCCACGGTTCCCACAGATTCGTCCGAAACCTACTTGGTGACTTTGAAGATCCTCAACAGTCGGAGAGCTCTCAGCACACTGATGCCAAAAGAAGTCCCAGGTTTCAACACAGCCCAGATGACTTCAAAGATGCTTCCGACTATCACCTGCGCAAAAGCAAAGGGTGGTGGGTTTGAGACAAAAAAAAAGAAATTACGAGTGAACAGCCCTCTCTCGACAGAGGGGGAAGGGATAGGGCACCACCTCTCTCCTGTTTGCAACACAGTCCTTTCAGCAGTTCCAAGAAAGTTCCCCACTTATTTGCACCATTCAGGTGAATAAGATTCCAAGTGGCCTTAATGATTCTCAGAGAGAGTACTGACGACCAGATGACTGCAAGGAATATAAATCCTTCCATCCTCCACATTCAGTCAGAGCTGAAGAAGCTTCTTGGATGAGAAACGAAACGTCTTCCAGCAAAAACAAAGGAAGTCCAGTCGCCTTTTGGAAAAGCACCTTTGGGGCAACTTGTGACCTGGAAGACTGAGAATCTCCATCTATTTTTCCAAACTGATTTACTCAATAGTAAATCAGCTTGTTTTACACCTTATACAGAGGCAAATATATTTTCTGTCTGGCTTCCCAGTGGAAATTTAAACAGCTGGCACAACGACACAATACACCAGTTTGCTCAATGCTGCTTCATCGTCCTACATTGTATTTCTAGGCACAGAAGTACAACAAGAGTCAAACTGTACATCAAAACTTAATATGTATTTAAAAACCGGGTATGCTAAGTGTTTCCATTCTGCTAACAGGATCAAGTGTTGTTTAAATTTATTTGTCTCTCTTTCCTTCGTTGGCAACTGGCTCTTCAATTCACAATCCACTCGACTTCACTTTTTTTTTTAAGCCAATGGCATATCTTTGCTATTTTGTTCTTTGGAAGAAAAAAAACAGGATTTCTTTTGTTTTCTTTCCCACTTCATCCCAGATGGTCAGAAAATAAATATGATGAGATATAATAATAATAATAATTTAAAAAAGCAGGGGACAAGGAAGAAATAAAAAATGAAGAAGTGGCACCCCTGGGTTTTGCAAAACTACAAGGACTGCACAGCACAATTCAGTTGAATTGGTATGTAGGAGTAAACATAGAAATTATTTTAACCTGAATCTGTTTGTTTTTTTTAACCAGCATCAAAAGGCAGCTGTGAGATGCAGATCTGTAACTCGAGAAAAACAACCAGATATTTAAATAAAATGAAAGGAGGGGGATAGTTATGCCCCATACTCTTCTGGCACATTGTGTTGCATGGTCCTAAAAATAATACCCCCTTCTATCGCTCGGTACCCAGAACGAGAAGAATTCTGGAAAGTGCTTTGTAAGCAATCATTTGCAACCTCCCGTAAAACAGGAGGGAGTTACTAGTCTGCAGAAATACAGTAAGGAGGGGAAATGAGGGCACCGTCACCTTAACCTATGGGAGGGATATATCGATCGTGATGGGAAAGAGTTCACTTGCTGGAATTCTTGTAACCCCATCCTGGTCTATGTAATCGATCTTGGCAGAAGCATCTCAGATCTGCTTGCTCAGAAAAGAAACACTTTTTCATTTTAAGCGGGAGGCCAAGACCCTTGTCGTGCTCCCGCTTTAAACCGGCTAAGTCTTGTACTACAGAGATGTGCAACTAAGGCATCCAGTTTCTCCTAGACCCCACTGCAGGCATGGATGTAGGCCTAGAGAGGTAGTAACACGGTGGTAGGGAAATACAATGAAGCCTGTGACTGGGAACTAACTCATCTTATTAGCTATCGTGATAAAGAATCTGGGGTGTTGTGATGACCCAGGGCCCCGAACGGAGGCAAAGCACTTAGCTGGTCAGAATAATTGTCTTTGTCAGCACTGCCAACGTTCACCCAACAGCCCCCACATATGCTGGCACAAGTGCAATAAAACAGCCAACGGAGTTAAACAGTTCTTTAAAGTAAAACAGATAACAAACAAAGGGTGATCTTTTCCACGCCCAGCTTGCCTGTAACCTGCAAACTGCAAAACTGAGGACAGCAAGAAGAACTCAGCGGGAAACAAATTTGATCCAAAATACAAAGAGTCCAGGTACAAGAGCTCACATCACAAGAGTTCACGTTTGTTCCCGGCAAATGCCCCACCCCACAGCGTCTCCTTAAATACCTACTCCCCAGGTGTGCCTTGTGAAGTGGGGCGTGATGCTCTCCTCCCGAGCAAGTGAGCCTGCCTCCGTTGTTCCCTCCTCCTCTCTGCTCTCCTTGCTCTGGGATCTGGTGGGGAGGGGTCTTGCTCCTCACCTGAGCTCTGCCTTCCCTGTTCCAAACTTGAAGGGCCCTGGCCTACTTCAGCCTGTGTCCTCCCCACAATCCTCCAAAGCCACAGACACCCCCTCCTGGGCCTCAACTGGGAACTCCATGTCGTCCTCAAGAGTCAGGCTCGGACGGACGGAGGCATGACACTGTCCGTTTTCCAACTTAACAAGCTCAGCAAACCAAATTTCAGTTTAAGGAGGTCGAACCGTCAAGTGAAATGAAGCCGCTGGAAGACATTTTGCTCCTCATCCAAGAAGCTTCTTCAGTTCATGAAGTTCTGGAGAAGCTTTTGGATGAGAAGCAAAAACAAAAAAAACAAGAGAGTCCAGTTGTCTTTGGGAAGACTGTCTGAGATCTTCTGCCAATGCAAAGAAGCTATAAAGTTTCATTTGTACAAGGGGCTCCTGCATGCGGTGGCCACCTCTCCTATTTTAAAACAGATACATCTCCATGGAAACAGTACTTGAAGACATATCCCCATTTTAAAGCATTGTCTGAGCAAGAGAGGAACAGGAGAAGTTGGAAATGGCTCCTCAGTCTTGGGGCAGCAGGTTCAGCTGATATGATAGGTCCACATCATCTACAAACTGCTTCCTTCGTTACCTATGAAGAGTCTCAATCATCCAGGTCATGGCTTGTCCCAAAGGTGCTTTTTTCAAGAGGCACCTGGATTTTGTTTTTCCTTGAAGACGTTTCGCTTCTCATCCAAGAAGCTTCTGCAGTTCTGACTGAATGGTGGAGGGTGGAAGGAATTACATTCTTTGCAGTCATCTGTTCATTAGAGTCTTTGGAGGTTTATCTGTGCCCTCAGGGTCAACTGAACAGTGCAAATGGGTGTGGAACCTTCTTGGAACAGCGGGAAGGACTGTGTTGTAAACAGGGGAGAGGTGGGGTTCACATCCCTTCCTCAGTCAGAGCTGAAGAAGCTTCTTGGGTGAGAAGTGAGATGTCTTCAAGGGAAAAACTATGTCCAGTGGCCTCTTGACAAAGCCCCTCTGGGACATGAGCTGTATTGCACCATTCCTGTGGCGGATGAGCTAACCAAGCCAGCCAACACCCGACCGTGTGTGATTTAGCACCAACTGAATTCTCCAAGGGCTGATTCATAAAAGGAGCAATCTTGATTGTCCTTATTGGGACAGTCATAGCAGGCAGCTTGATTTCTGCCAACTGCCCAGGCCAGGGGTAGGCAACCTTGGCTCTTTTATGACTCATGGACTTCAACTCCCAGAATTCCTGAGCCAGCCACGCTGAGGGGAAAGGGAGAGGTTTCCAAGCTGAGCCATGCTGGCTCAGGAATTCTGGGAGTTGAAGTCCACGCGTCATTAAAAGAGCCACGGTTGCCTACCCCTGGCCCAGGCCATCGATGCCAACAACGAATCCAACCTAGATTCAGGGTCTGAATAACAGACCGTAGTTTCTCCTTCGAGACCTGCCAGGGACGGAGCTAATTGGTGTCACTTGTGCGGGCGGCAATGGACCATCTGCCAAAGGCTATTTTTCTGTTCTGGCAAATATGACACATCGGAGCCACGAGGTCAGAGTAATCCCTCCAGGGTTTTGTGGAAGGAAGGATTCAGGGAAAAAAAAAACACAGACCATGACAATGTTTGCACATTGTCTTTGGCACAGAACGTCAGCTGAGTCGCCCCCATGCACAGCACCGAATGGCCGAATTTGGGGGCGCCGTTCCGTGCCGATTCGAGATCTGACTTGAAAACGGAGCTCTCTGCTAGCCATTAAGAATATACCGTAGTTGACGATCCAAACTCTGTCCTCCACCATCAACCCTACCTGAGCCATTAGACGCAATCCTTGCTACCTCTTCATCTGTGGGGGACACCATGCATAAAACCACGATTGCGCACAGAGGCCTCGCGTCCTTCCCTTCTTACCCCAAAGTCGAAGCAATTGAATGAGGAATGGAAGTAGTTCCTTGGCCCCAGACCGTACATCTTCAGGGTCATCTCGGTGAGGAACAAACCCAGGAAGACAAATTCAGCAAAATCTAGAAGGAAGTAGCAGAAAAAGGAGCAACAGGTCAGGCCCAACGGGTGGGGAAATCGTTCATTGGGAAGCAACGTTCTGGAGAGGAAAAAACCCAACCTCCCCAAACAATTATCTTTCTTATTCTGCGTTTATCTTCTTAATTTAATGGCTTCTCCACCAACTCAGAAAACGTCAAACTGGAAGGTTCCACTGAAATCCTCCCTTGAATGATAAAAAGCAAACTTCCTTTAACAAAAGAAGAGTCATCCCCTAGGAGTGTAAATAATTGCCCACAGAGAATTCCAACACTATTTTACACTTGGTCTAAGACTTTGTGTTGCTGAAGCAACATTGAAATATTGTTCTAGCTTCCAACAGAGTCCTCTCCTTGGGATATTATGCCATCCTGGATTGTCTTGCTTTGCTACAGCTTAAATCTCATATTTCTATCACTTCTTTCTTTCACTCTTCCCTTTAAAAAAAAAACACCTCTTTTTCACCATGATCCACACAGCTACCCATCTGAGTTAAAATTTCCAGTTCTATTGGGACCTCTCTAGCAGTGTTCACAATTAGCCATCCATCCATCCATCTTCCTAACCAAGGTCTCCTGTTTTCCACCATCCTTCCAGCTGATGGATCACCGTCCCAGTTTCTTCTAACCTAACCTTGTCCATGTAATCGGAAAGCAAATGCAATCCCATAACATTTGACCATCCCTGGATTTAATATAATACAGAATGGAATGAAATAATAGAATAGAATAGAATAGAATAGAATAGAATAGAATAGAATAGAATAGAATAGAATAGAATAGAATAGAATAGAATAGAATAGAATAGAATAGAATAGAATAGAATGGATGAGATGGAGTAGAATAGAATAGAATAGAATAGAATAGAATAGAATAGAATAGAATAGAATAGAATAGAATAGAATAGAATAGAACTGGAATGGAATGGAATGGAATGGAATGGAATGGAATGGATGTGATGGAGTAGAGTAGAGTAGAGTAGAGTAGAGTAGAGTAGAATAGAATAGAATAGAATAGAATAGAATAGAATAGAATAGAATAGAATTTTTTTATTGGCCAAGGACACACAAGGAATTTGTCTCCAGTGCATAAGCTCTCAAGTGTACACACTATCAACAAAGTGAGAGGCCACAGATCATAAATCATAGTTACAATCATTAATCATAAGATTGCAAACCACAAGGGATCAATCATAAGATACCAATAGGAGAAGATAGTAGGAAAGCTGAGAAGACGAGAAAGCTGAGAAGGATAATAGCAATGCAGCCCTACTACATGAGTAAATATCTTTAGGACTGAGACAGTGCTGTGGGAGTAAGGTGTTCAGCAGAGTGATGGCACGGGGGGGAAAAACTGTCTCTGTGCCGAGTTGTTCTGCTGTGCAATTTCCTATAGCAGCATCCTGAGGGGAGACGTTGAAAGTTTATCTCCAGGATGTGAGGGGTCTGTAGATATTTTCCCAGTCCTCTTTCTGGCTGGTGCAGTATACAAATCCTCAATGGAAAGCAGGCCGGTTGCAATTGTTTCCTTCTTTTTTTCTATCCGTCGAAGTCTGTACCTGTCCCGTTTGGTTGCCGTGCCAAACCAGACAGATTATAGAAGGTACAAATGACAAGACTCAAAAGATTCCTCTCTAGAACGGGATCAGCAGCTCCTTAAGACAGGAGTCTTCTCTTGTGCAAGGGGGCGAGAGACGGGGAAGAGAAGAGCTGGCTACGAATAATTCGATTCGGTTTTTAAAAATCTGTACCCCCTGAGCTGTTTTCCACCCGGTACCTTTGGATAAGATCATTAGCAGCTTCTCTCTCATTGTCTCATCACTAATAGATTAGTTCCATTTCGGCTGAATGTCTCCGAGGTCTGAAGCCATTAAGGACGAGGGCTTTGCTATTTAACCCTATCCAGTTCTCGCCTGCTTCAGACTTTGCTGCAAACCATCATGCATGCAAAAAAAAAAAGGACTGTTAATATTTTCGTCTTCGGCTCCCCGTCCCCCTTCCAGAATCCACACCTAAAATATTCAGCATGCTGATATCCGCAGGGAGAACGCGATGTAGCTTTGCAGGCAAAAAAAACTCCCAAAACCCATCTCATCAAGGAACTCGTTACCTTGCGTTCCTCGGGAGGCAGGACCGAGAAAAGACTTGAGGCATGCTGCACTTTGGATCCCGCGAGGGACAAGGGTTTCCAGGCAGGGTTCCTCAAGGGTTGGACTAGATGACCTCCAAGGTCCCTTCCAAGCCTACTATTCTATGTTCTATGACTGCGCAGAGGTCGGACGTGGAATCCAAACAGCTGGAATCCGAACAAACTCAACAGGGCAGCCAGTTTCATCTTACTAACTGAACTGCTGCAGTGACTCCCTTCCCAAAAAAAGAGATGGAGAGATTTTTCAGTCGTCCAGGTCCCGGCGGGGCCAAAGGTGCCTTTTTGCAAAGGCGAAACTGGACTTGGTTTTGGCTTGAAGACTTTTTGCCTCTCATCTGAGAAGCTTCTTCAGTTCTGACTGAGTGAAGTGAAGTGAACTGAACCGAACCGAAGAAGTGAAAAAAAGCACCTTTGCGTCAAGAAAGCTCATCAAACAGGATCAAAACACACATAGCAACACAATTAAACTTAACATCTATTATCCAGGGCTTTATTTGGCTCCTTCCGTCGTTGTGTTATCATTCTGGGCTTTCGGAATTTTGAGTGTGCCGTGCCATTAAAAAAAATAGAATTATTATCTTTTTTTTTAATCGTTGTTGTTAGTTGCGAAGTCATGCCCGACCCATCGCGACCCCATGGATAACGTTCCTCCAGGCCTTCCTGTCCTCTGCCATCTTCTGGAGTCCATTGAAGCTCACGCCTCCTGCTTCAGTGACTCCATCCAGCCACCTCCTTCTCTGTCGTCCCCTTCTTCTCTTGCCCTCCATCTTTCCCAGCATTAGGCTCTTCTCCAGTGAGTCCTTCCTTCTCATTTTTTAAAATAGTCTATCTTAATTAACTCATTTTCCCTTGAATTGTATCCCCCCTGTTTTGCAGATGGGAAAGAACACACGTGTAGGAAAGCTGTTTTTTTTTAAAAAAACTCAGCAATCTTTACAGGGCCACTTGTTCCTGACTAAATATCTATCAAATAAATATCAAAGACGGGACTTCTCCATTCAGAATAAAAGAGTTGGAAGGGACCTTGGAGGTCATCTAGTCCAACCCCCTGCTCAAGCAGGAAACCCTATTGCATTCCAGACAAATTTTTGTCCAATCTCTTCTTAAAAACCTCCAG